GATTTAGATGGACAATACTTGGAGACAATTTGATTGCTAATACATAAAAACCCACTTACACGTGTGATTAGAAATTAATACCAAGGGTGCCTGGGTGGCTCAGTTAAGCGTCTGCCTTCGGCTCAGGTCATGATCCCAGGGTCCTAGGATGATTCCCAAGTCAGGCTCCCTGCTTCACAGGGAGTCCACTTCTCCCTCTGACCATCCTCCCATTTGTTCCCTCAATCTCTCTAACAAATAAATAAAATTTCTTAAAAAAATTAATACCAAGATATTGTGGCTATAAGTCTGAACTAAAAACTGATATTTAGAAATAATGGAGAAATGGCATAGTAAAAGGAAGAGAAAAAGAATTTACTGGCCAAAACAAAACTGGTTGTATACAGATAATTTAATATTAATAGTAATGTTTTAATAATATATTTATTAATCAATACAATATACTTTATATTAATAGCCTTATTATTTTATTTTTTTCTATTTTTCCATTTTTCTGTTAGGTTGTTAATCTTTCTTTTTTTTTTTGTAATAGGCTCCATGCTGGGCATGGAGCCCAACACAAGACTTGAACTCACAACCCTGAGATCAAGACCTGAGCTGAGATCAAGAGTTGGACGTTTAGGGGCACCTGGGTGGCTCTGTTGGTGAAGCGACTGACTTCGGCTCAGGTCATGATCCCAGGGTCCTGGGATCAAGCCCCACATCGGGCTCCCAGCTCCTTGGGGAGTAAAAAAAAAAAAGAGTTGGACATTTAACCAAGTGAGCCACCCAGGCACCCCTTAATAGCATTATTACTGATTGATTTAATAACTCAATTAGAATTCTTAGAGCAAAAAATCTTATTATCACCAAAAAATAGATACCTTTTTTTCTTACCATTGTAAGTGCAAGGATCAACAAAAGAGGTAACACTTGGAACTCCTTTACAACCAAGCTCTTTGTAACCTTTTGTTAGCTCAAGGATCAGCTCTTAAATATCCTCATGACACTGGAATTCAGCTGCAATTTTATCCTAAACAGTCCTGCAAATTTTCTTCAAAGGGCTCTTCATTGTGGAATTCTTTCATTCTGTTCTTATATCTCTGATGACAGTTTTTCAGGTCTTCAGGTGAACACTCAAGAGAGCAAAAACCATCTTCTTCATAATTCCAGAAATATACAATGCCCTGCAAACTTGCAGGTCAGAGTAGAGGAGGGAAGTAATTCCAGTATTATTCCCTCCCAATCTCTGGCGGGGGTATCAAATGCACAAGCAGGATCACCAGCAATTACAACAGCATAAAACAAAAAACATTTTTAAAACAAAACAAAATCAACTAAGATTAAATGGCCAAATTAAAATAATTTCCCTAAGATGTGAAATAATCCATTAATTTCAATTATTAAATTACAAAAATGTACTCCTGAATATAGGTCTGAAAAATTGAACTTCTGCACTAGAGAATTATAGAGTAGAAAGAGGTTTTAAAAAACATAGCTGTGTAATTCTAAATGTGGACAGAAAACATAAAACAAAGTGCAACTAACTGGCTCAAAATGGGGATATTTTATCCTCATTTCCTTCAAGGAAAGAAATATCTGTGAAAACTAGTGTAATCTACCAATATCCCACACATTTAATCCCACAAAGATAAGAAAATCACTTCAATTTTCTAACAGTGCTGGAGAAACTAGGAACATATTTATGAAACCAGAAACATCCTACCCTTTCACTTTAATGAAACACATTCTAAAAGTATTGTGGTAATTTTCTTGCCATACTACTTCAGCAAGTAAGTAAGCAAGTTATATCACATTAAATCAACCTGAAGACTGAGATTTATAAGTAAAAATCATGATCGCTGGGATGGTAAATTGAACCAAAATAGGCCTGTTGCCTGTCTCTCCCGCCCACCTCCCCCCTCCATCCACAATTTGATTTATGTCCTAAGAAAGATCACCGTTTAAAAACAAAACTCTGGGGCGCCTGGGTGGCTCAGTCGTTAAGCGTCTGCCTTCGGCTCAGGTCATGATCCCAGGATCCTGGGATCGAGTCCCACATCGGGCTCCCTGCTCCGTGGGAAGCCTGCTTCTCCCTCTCCCACTCCCCCTGCTTGTGTTCCTGCTCTCGCTATCTCTCTCTCTGTCAAATAAATAAA